TATATTCAAAATAGGATAGATATACAGCTGCATTCTCTTAATCCAATGAATAGAGAGATTTGTTCTAAAAGTGTCTGTGGACAGGATATCATGTCTGCATCTTGTACAATGAGTAACTACTAAGACAACAATATGCAAAGTATTATTGAAATTGTGCTAGTAATTGGCTTTAAAACTGTCTCATGGCTATTTGTTTCTCAATAAAATTATTTTTAAAAAAAAGTTTAGTGTGCTCAGTAAAACTTCTGGTAGGGGCAGGGCAGATGGCTCAGTGGAATAAGTGCTTCCCTGGCAAGCACAACAGCGTGGGTTCAATCCCCAGTTTCACCAAAAAAATAAAAAATTGTTTAAAAAAAAACAAACCCTGGTAGCCAACATGAAGTGTTTCAGGAATCCTCAGACTCAGAATAAGTGACCACCTTGGGCCTGTGTTGTTCCCACTGTAAAGAGAAAGCTAAGCCTATGCAACACTTCCAGAAGCATCAGATTCCTGCTGTAGACACAGGACAGCTGCTTTATTTATTTATTTATTTATTTATTTAATTTATTTATTTGGCAGAACCGGGGATTGAACTCAGGTCCCTGCGCTTGCCAGGCAAGCGCTTATTCCACTGAGCCATCTCCCCGGCTGCTTTATTTACTTTTTATTTTTATTTTTTTGTGGCTGGCTCAGCCCATCCTGGGGGCGGGGCTGGCATAGAATGTGGTGCTGGGGATCGCACTGTGGTCCCTGAGGTTGCCTAAGCAGGTCCTTTAGACTGTGGGCTGAGCTACTTCACCAGCTCAGGAAAGCTGCTTTAAAAACTACTTTACACTTATTAAAGAAATATTTTATATTTAGTTGTTACCCACAGCCAAAAAATCCAGCCATGTGTTTGTCAATGTTGCAGCAGGGAATGCATAACACCTATTAATCCCAATGCTTACACCACTCTCACTGCTCTCTGGTGTCCATGCTGCCTGCAGAAAACCTGAGCTTTTCCCCATTACAGATGGGTTACAGACACCTGGTGTGCTCAGAATTTTTAGAAGAGAACTTAGCTTCTCACAGGAGTTTAAGACGATTACTCTTTAGATGCTTGCGCTATATGCTGAAACCACGTACAGCAATACATACCAATAAAACCCTTCTTTGCTAGCTCCATGGTGAACCTTCTTGTGATCTTTTCTAATTCACTATCCTATAAAGAAAAAACAAAGGAACAAAAATTAGGGTAGGAGGGCTGGGGGTGCAGGTCAGCCACAGAGCACAGGCTAAACACATACAAAATGCTGAATTCAATTAAAAAAAACCCTAGGGCTTAAATCCCAGCTCCTCTCTGCATTAATTCTTCCCCCACCCCCCACCAAAAACAAAAAAACCCCGCTAGCTAGGTGTGGTGGTGCACACATGTAATCTAGGCCCTGGGAAGACTGAGGGAGGAGGATTGACATAAATTAGAGAACAGCTTGGGCTACAAAGTGAGTTCCAGCCAGCCTGAACTGCATAGTAAAAGCTTGTCTCAAAAACACAAAAAAAGCCAAAACAAACCCCCTCCCCAAACCAAAAAACCTCTCAAAATTATATTTTTATTTAAACGGCAAATTTACTGATTGATTGTCTTTTTGAGATAGGGTCTCACCGTGCAGTTCAGGCCATACTTGAACTCATTTTGTAGCCCAGGCTGGTCTTAAACTTGTAGTGATCTTCCTGCTATGGGCTCTCAAGGGCTGGAATTACAGATGTGTGACGCCATGTCTGGCTTAAATGGCAAATTTTAAAGACAATGAATTATATGTATTTATTAAGGTATGATTTATATAGATTGTAAATGGTTGTATATACAACACTTAAGTCATTTGCATTAACTTGAAGTGGACAGGATAAATACAATTATTTATTTTTCATTTTATGTATTTGGTACAGGGTCTCACTATACAGCTTGGACTAGGAGTGATCCTGTTTTCAGCTTCCTCAGTGCTGGGATTACAGGCGTGCGTCACCACACCCAGACTCTGGTCACTGGCTTGGCGTGCCTGGGGGGCCAGGGCTGGCAAGGTATGCGGACTGGGGATCAAATCCTGTTCCCTGTGCTTACCAAGGCAGGTGTTTAGTTTGCTGAGCTGTCTCACTGGCCCTACAATCATTTCTTAGATTAGTGATTTGTCTCCAGAGCAAGAGCTCTACATTAAATCTTCAGATCATATTAATTTTTGAACATGGATGTAAGTGCCTAAAAATGTGAAAGAATTAACTATGCACGGTAGTACATGCCATTAATCTTAGTACTTAGGAGATCGATGCAGGATTGCTGTGAATTCAAAGGCCAGTCTAGACAACACAATGAGACTTTGTCTCAAAAACCAAAAATAAACAAGAAGATATTAACACCTTTAAACCAAAGAAGAAAATGTAGAGACTGAATTAAGCCTTTTATATGGCAATACATTGAATACATTAATTATATACTCCACCCCTTTATTAATCTTTGAGACAGGGTTTCACTGTGCAGTTCAGGCTGGCCTTGAGTTCACTTTGTGGTCTAGGCTGGTCTCAAACTTGCAACAATCTTCCTGCCTTAGCCTCTTGAGTACTGGGACTATGGATGTGTGCCACCACACTGGCTTCCCATTCCTTATTTATTTATTAGCTATGTAGCTGGGACTCATAGTGATCCTCTGGTCTCAGCTTCCCCAGCACTGGGATTATAGGTGTGCATCACTACGCCTGGTTTCAGTGGCTGGCACAGTGCACCAAGAGTTCCAGGGCTGGCATGGCATGCAGTACTAGGGATTGAATCCAGGTCATTGTGCTTGCCAGACAGGAGCTTAGACCACTGGGCTATCTCCCCAGCCCCATTCCTTCTGAAAACTCAAGAAGGCCATCAATCTTTCTGATATGAGGGATACACAAGAGTCCAGAAATTGATTCCAAGTCCTTTGGTAAATGCTGGTGTATATACATACTGTTTTGATACTTACTGAATAGCTCTTAGGATTGATCTTAACACCTGCTTTAGCCCCGCCAAATGGTACATCTGAAAGGGAAAGCTCAAAATTATCATTCCATATAAATGTTAAAAAATAAAAAAGATGGCACTATGCAATATGGGTTGAGTCTTCCTTACCAATAGGAGTTCTGGATTTTGGGATATCTGCATATGCATAATGAGATTATCTTGGGGAAAGGGACCCAAATCCAAACATAAAAATTCATTTATGTTCCAAATACATATAGCCTGAATGTAATTCTGTATAGTATTTTTTGTGTTTTGACTCCAACCTGGAGAATTAAACCAAGTAGGGAGTTTCTCTTTGTTTTTGAGACCAGGTAGTCTCCTGTATGCCGGGATTACTGGTTCTGCTGGGATTACAGGTTCCTATGCCTGATTTATGTGTGTTTTCTACTTGTGGTGTCAAGTGTTCAGAAAGTTTTGTATTTTGGAACATTTCAGATCTTTGGACTAGGGATGCTTAACCTGTATTACAAAAAAATGTTAAGGTTTATTATTATTATTTTTTTGGTACAAGAATGGAACTCGCGGCCTGCGCGTGCCAGGCAGGTGCTGTGTCACTGAGCTACATCCTCAGCCCAACGTTTTATTTCAGAAAATTTAAGAAATAAACCTACATTGATTTCTTTTAATGTTGTAGGGGAGTTTGTAAGACTAGCCAAGTTTCAATGCACAATATGGACAGAGATTTAAAACAAAGAACTACATTTAAAGAAAATCCAGGGGGCCTGGGAGATGGCTCAGTAGAATAAGTGCTTCCCTGGCAAGTACAAGGATCTGAGTTCAATCCCCAGTTCCACCAAAAAAAAAAAAAAAGAAAAAAAGAAAAAAATAGAAAAGAAAATCCAGTGAGTGACTATTAAAACCCCCCCCAAAAACCAAAAAAACAAACAAACAAGAAAACCACTTAAAAGATGAAGCCTCATCTTTAAAATGTCCTGGAGTGCAAACACATTTCCCTGCAGCTGTCAGACAGTGACAAGTGAGCACTTACCAACCACTGCACACTTGTACGTCATCAGTGAAGCCAGTGCCTTCACTTCATCCACACTCACATCAGTGCTGTAGCGGATGCCTGGGCAAGAGTTATTTTTTAGAAGGGGCAGGGAAAGAAAAAAGGCATGTATTTAGAACACATTCACGGTAAGCTTTAAAAAAAAAAGTCATACTCTTAATAAGTGGTGCTGGAAAAACTAGCTCTGCATATGCTCAAGATTAAAATTGGACCCATATTTTTCCCAGTGCACTAGACTAAAATCTGCTGGAAGATAGACAATGGTGTATGCAAAGACTTTATGGCTATCCATAAAACCCGATCAAACAGGAACTATCACAAAGAACAACTAGGATCTTTCTTATCTTAGTAAAAAAGCTTTTTGCATAGCAAGAGAACCCACCAACATAGTGAAGAGACAACTCAGAGAGAGAAAAAATGTTTACCAGCTGCTTCTTAGAGAAGAGTATATCAAGAATTCAAAAAATACCAGGCTCCCAAATAAAGACTCACTCCAAAAATGGGCATTTGAGATGAATACATACTTCTTAGATGAAGAAATACAAGCAGCAAATACTTGAAACAATGTTCAACATCACTGGTCATTTGACAGAAGCAAATTAAGATGGACTTTTTTGTTTTTTGGGCTGGCTCAGGATGCTTTAAAGGCAGGTCTGATAAGGCATGGGGATTGAACCACAGCATCCTGAGCCTGACTGCTTTGCTTAAGCACACACTTAAACAATTGCGCTAATGGAAAGGCCCCCCAGAAACAAATTCAAACACCAACATTTCATCTCACTCCAGAAAGAGTGACTATTACCAAGAAATCAACCAATAACAAATGTTAGAAAGGCTGTGGGGAAAAAGGAATGCTTTTCTGTTGGTAGGAATGTAGACTGGTGCAACCACTGTGGAAATGAGTGTGGAGATTCCTCAGAAAAACAAGATTGGCAGTCACATTTGATCCAGCTAATTCCCCTTTTGGTGTCTTCCCAGAAGAATTAAAAATATCATCGTACCACAGTGGTATATGTGTATCCATGTTTACAGCAGTACACTTTGTAATAGCTAGGTCTTGGAAACAACCTAAATGCCCATCAACCTAGGAATACATAAAAGGATGTGGTCTTTTTTATACAATGTAGTATCATTTTATACACTGCAGCCATAAGGAAAGATAAACTAAGACTTCTATAGGTAAATGGATGATGCAACTTGAGACCATAATCATAAGTGAAATAAACCAGTTGCATGTGTGTAAACATCACAGAGAGTAAATAAGAACCCAAATGTACAATAGATACTGTAAAATGGGAAGAAACTTTATAAAAGAAAGGGAAACTGTGGAAAGGGACAGGTCTCCCAGTGCTTTTTTAGGAGGAAAATATATAATACCTCACTGGCAGTTTGAGGAGACCTCTGTTTCAGGAATTATTAGCCTAAATACTGACTGAAGAGACTGTTAAGATAATTTTATATATGGTATGTATGATGATAAAAAGCAAATTTTGAAGCTGAATTTTTTTGGTTTACCAGGAGAGTAAGAAACTACACAGCTTGGTGTGGCAGTACATATTACTAGCTCCAGGTTCTTAGCCTGTGCAACTGAGTAAGATCCTGTTTTAGAGAGAAAAAAAAGAAAAAATGGCCACATATAAGTGTGCTCTTAGAATTATACCTGGTACACAATGTGTTTGCTGGTTAAATAAATGTACTCAATCTTAAAATGTTAAAGTGTGGGATGAAGGAAAATTTTCTAAGACACATAGATGTCTATGCAGCTTGCTGTGGTTCAGCCTCTGCCATTCTGAGGCCCTCCCTGATCACTTCACTTAAACAGCACCTCATCCACCACTCTCTAGCCCCCCACTTTCTACTTTCTTCCCAGCTTTTCACCCTGAAGGATCTTATCTGTTTAATGTCTGGCTTTCTCATCCAGAAGGTCAGGCCTGTTTTGTTTGCTGCTTTAATTCCTGTTGTCTAACAAAACACATGATCAAGCACTCAAGTAATTTTGAATTATATCAATCTTTGACTAAAGGAATGGGCGTGGTAGCACATGCTTATAATCCCAGCACTCAGGAGGCTGAGGCAGGAAGATTGCTGGGCACTTGAGACTACCCTGGGCTACACAGTGAGACCCTCTCTCAATCAATCATTGTAGAGGGCTGGGGATGTAGCTTAGCCCTTGGTTGCTTACAAACAAGGTAAGGCACTGGGGTCAGTCTGTAGTACTGCCAGTAAACAAACAAAAAAATTAGGACAGAAAATAAAGCCTTGGCCACCAAAATTTGACATACATATATGCTTTAAAAAATCTGCTGGGTGTGATGGTTTACTCCTGTAATCCTACCACTTGGGAGGCTGAGGCAGTAGGATGAATTCAAAGCCAGCCTGGGCTATGTGTTGAGTTCAAGGTCAGCCTACACTACACAGAGAGCAGCTCTCAAAAATCCAATGTTTCCACCAACAAAACCAAACCAAACCAAACCCAAAAACATGCCACAAGTACCCTTAGATTAACAGGAACTGTCAAATACTAGAAAGTTATAGCACCAGGTCCTAACACATACTTCAGGAAAAAAATAAGAAAAATAAAATGAAGATGAGCTGGGTGTGGTGGCACACACCTGTGCAACACAGTAAGATCCTGTCTTGAGAGAAAAAAGAAAAAAAATGCCACATACTACGAGTGTGTTCTTAGAATTATACCTGGCACACAATGTGTTTGCTGGTAAAATAATTTGTCAGCACTTGGCAGACACGTCACTGTACGTTTCGGGCCAGCCTGAACTACACAGTGAGACTCTGTCTGTCTCGTCTCAAAAAGAAAGGAATAAAAAGATGAAACATTTGTATCTTTCACATAGAATTTATCTTATACACTAAGACACCACTTTTCTCCCACAAAACTATTAAAAATGCTGAGTACTATAGTATATTACTGGGCAGAAACTGCTGAGCCAGGAGTCTGGGTCTAACTCCTGGTCCAGGGGACTCCAGCCCACAGCACCTGTGTGAGACATCTGGAGCAGACCCGAGTGATCAGGCATCACATTTCAGTTATCACAAGACTATGACAAGACTTATAGGACAGAGGCCCATAGCAACACAACTTTTAGTGTTTCTGCTGGCTTATACCACCAGCGGGGTACCCATGACTATAAGCTTTGAAGGGACAGTTCTGTATGTACCACTGGTGTTCTGGTGGGAATGTAATTAGAACCATCCAGCAGTGAAATGGCCTTTTACAACTTTCAAAGACAACAAACAGCCCGGTGCCACATAGGTTCACCACTACTGGCACTGGCAAGACTCGTAACTTTGAGTCTTGGTTTTAGTATTATCTATCTCTGAAGGTAAATTCTTAAGGGCAGACTACCCCCCACCATCATTTTTTTCTTTTTTCTTGCAGAACTGGAGATCGAACTCAGGCCCTTGCGCTTGCCAGGCAAGTGCTTATTCTACTGAGCCATCTCCTCAGCCCTCATTTTTTTCTCATTGCTCTGCTTGCGTACTAAGTTACCCTAACTCTTCCCTTGTTTCCTCTAGTGGGGGAAGAGTTATTCTTCCTCAGTTTATTTTTTATTTTATTTTTTTCACCTTATGTATTTGGTACAGGGTCTTACTACGCAGCTTGGACTTGTAGTGATCCTGTTTTCAGCCTTCCCAGTACTGGGATTACAGGTGTGCGCCATCATACTTCGACTGGGTGGGTCTTGGACTCAGCTCGCCCCAGGGGCGGGACCAGCACAGGATTCCGCCAAGGATTGAATTCCTCAGCTTGGAAACATAAAGGTATTCTTTTTTTTAAGGAGCAGAATAAGGGCCGGGGAGATAGCTCAGCGGAATAAGTGCTTGCCTGGCAAGTGCAAGGTCCTGAGTTTGATCCCTGGTACAAAAAAAAAAAAAAAAAAAAAAAAAAAAAAAAAAAAAAAAAAAAAAAAAAGCGCAGAATATATTTATTGGGGGAAAGAAAGCTCCTGTCCTATAGAGGGACAGAAGGGGGGGGTCCCCACAAGGTTTTCATTTTTATTTATTTTTTTAATTTATTATTATTATTATTTTTTTGGCAGAACTGGGGATTGAACTCAGGCCTCTGTGCTTGCCAGGCAAGCACTTAGTCTACTGAGCTATCTCCCCAGCCCCAAGGTTTTCATTTTTAAAGATAGCTATAATGTAGCACACTTAGTAGAGAACTAAAAAACTGATATAAATGGTAATATTCATAAATCAAATAGCAAAAACATCTAAATGGCAAGGCTGACTAACGTTCTAGATCTAGGTGTTAAGTAGCAACTAGACCTTTACAGAAGTTGAAATAAAGTAACCACATTTATTATAAAAGTCCTGCAATAATGTGAGTCAGAAATGGCTTTCTTGTTTGTAAAGTGAAACCCAGGATAGTGCTGAGAATCCTCTTGGCAGCCACAGGCACTTGCTGCAGGCTGTGCTGAAGAGGAACCCAAAAGGGAGGGCCACTGCTCTGGGAATAAGCGGGGGCAGGGCAGGGCGGGCCACCTGCCTGCAGCCAAACATGTTTTCTGTTAACTTTCTAATTATCAATGATACATAAATGTTTCTACTTGCAGAAATTGGCAGGTA